TTAACCTAGACACCAAAGGAGAAAATAAAAAAAAAAAAAAAAAAAAAAAAGAAGTAACAGGAAGCGTTAGTTACCCCTACACTTTAAAGCTTCCTGTAGAATAAGCTGTATGTGTTTCAGAAAAGCTGCTAAAAAGGAGCAGTTACCTCCCTCTGAGGAGGTCCAGACCAGCTGGCCCTTCAGTGTCCACACAACATCTGCACACACCACTCACAAAATCCACCTCCTCTGGGGCTTCAGAGCCCAGAATAAGCTTTCAGATGGTGGTGACGGTGGTGAGTTAGGCATTTCCTACGTCAGTGGGGTGGCAGTGACAGCGCAGTGTGTGGCGTGTGCCCTGACCCTACTGGCCTCCCAGGAAAATCTGCTTCAAGGCCAGACATTCAGCCCAGGCCGTGGTCTTGTGTGCTCACCCCTGTAAGCCATGTGGGTTCCCCTCCCTTCATCTTCACAACTCGTTTCCGGGCTGGCCAACCTCACCTTGCAGTCGCCTTCAGTCATGTTTCCAGGCAGCATGATCTGTACGTACCCCGCCCCGTCGTCTGGTCCTGTGTCCTGTGCCCAGGTCCCTGAGCCATCAGTCATACAGCCACCCTGTCTGGGGAGGGACATGCGGGTGACTTGTTCGCCACCTTTGTGATTTATCTCTTGTCTGTTTCTAAGGAGTCCACATTGGCCACTCTGGAAAAAATCAGGTCCTTCAGAATCTTTGTTTTCAAAAACCTGCCCCACGCCACAGGGCTACCCCGGGAACTCTGCGTTTATCCCACTGCCCCTGTAGTCACCGTGAGCGAGGGCGTGCGGCTGTCCCTTTGTGCCCACAGGCTGGTGTCTGCGTGTGGAGGCCAACTGAATCTTCCTCCTCAGCACACAGGCACCGGTGAGACCGTCCGTGCTCAGGCCAGCAGCTGGGTTGTGCATGACCCCAGCCATGCCCTTGGCATCAGAAGCCGGATGCCTTTCGCCACTTCCAGGTTGAGCATCAGCCTGTCGGTGTTCTCCATCTCTGCAAGCGTCCAGCTCTTCTGGACCATACCCTGTCCTGTCTGCTCCTTCATCTTCATCTCTCATCCTTCTGCCAGCACCTGGCCCTCTGAGGTCCCCTTAGGGTCAGCCTCTCCTCTCCCAGGTGTTCGCCTGCCCTAATCCCTAGGCACCTTCTCTTCCTTCTCTTCACATTCCATAACTTCAGGCCCTGTAAGGCCAGGCTTGTGTGCTGAGCGGAGGGGGCCACTCTCCCTTCTCGGTCAGCAGCGTCAGTGTGGGCGCCCTCCCGGCTGGTCTCGACTCCACGCCAGCTCACAGGGAGGCCCGGGTGGAGAAACCTCCGTCCCTTCATTCCCGTCACCACCTGTGGCAGAAAACCCACAGACTTTCCAGTCTTCCAGGTTATAGCCATTCTCCTTTGCCTGTGCTCTGTGACCCTCGGTGCCTTCCCAAACAAGGTCACCACAGCCCTAGGGTGGGTTCCCAGCGACGTGACCAGACCAGGCAGGGACTGCAGTTTGGTAAGTTCCCACAGATTTTCTTCATTCTCAGTGTGGAGTCCACGAGGAGATCTCATTTCCCAACGGCAAGTCTGACCTTCCAGGGGGAGATCCCTCCTAAACCTCACTCCAGGACCCAGCCCAGAGCTTGGCATACATTTGGAACTGCCCCGCCCCGAGAGAATGGACTATTTCAGCTTACTTCAGTGGCACAGAAGTACCCTGATTTTCTCTAGGCTCACATTTCTCCAGGTCCATTCTCCTGACATCAAGACAAGGCAAAAGGGAAACCAGATTCGTGGGATTTCCAAGCCCGCAAAAAGTAATTCAGAAACGTAGCTGTTGGATTGGGAGGAAGCGGTGGGTGCTTACGTGTCTAGTATTGTCTGCTGGTGAGTTTAATAGGCAACAAAAACTTTCATATTTTAGTGAATCATTTTAATAATAAAAGTAATATAAAGTATATTACAAGAATATTATACAATTCACCTATTTTTTTTTTTTTTTTTTTTTTTTTTTTCAGAGGCGCTTGT